TTCTTGATGCAAAATGAAGGAAAGTGCTCAGAGAAATCAGAAAGCCTGGAAGGGATTATTAAAGAAAGCAATATAAGGGACTCATTGTCTCCTGCCTATTATTTTAACATGCTGGCTGTGTTTGGTGCTGTTCACTTATTATGCAGTTTATTATAGTTTATTGTGCCATCTGCTCTGCTCATCACTGTGAGTGCAGAGTGAGGAAGATGGAGGAGAGGGGGGACTAGGGGGAACAAAGTCTGTCTAAGTCCTTCTGGCTGGTTTTGTGTGTGTGTGTTGTATTTTTTCAGGACCCAAATCCATGGATTTCAACTTAGCACTATTATATAGTGTATTTTTACTCAGGAAAAAACGGTTAAATATTTTCAGAGTTGGGGAAGGTACGAACCCAAAGCACATCCTGGCTGGGCTCCGCACACTTGCATGCTCCGGTGTGTTACACCAGGGAGGCTCTGAGCGGCACGCACCGTCACCCTCGTGCCTCTCCCACTGTTGGCACTCATGTCTGCTGAAGGAAGCTCAGAAACCTTATTTTTCCCCAATTTTCATTGGAAGAGGGGAGTCTGCTTGTGCTTCGCAGTGTTACAAGACCAACACACCGAAAAAAAACCTGAACTGCAAAAAAATGTCAGGGAAGAATGGCCCAGCCTTCTGGTTGTCCCCAAACCAGTAAAGTTCATGTTATTGCTCGTCTGCCTTTTGTAACGTTTTGGTAACTACACCAGTAGCTTTGCAGACATTTGGCCTCTGGTGTTTGCTCCGACCAGGCAAGGTCCGTGCAGCCCCGCGGCTGCGCTGCCCGCCCAGCGCAGCGCCGATGGGTGGCAAAAAGGTGCTCTCAACATTTGTGCTAAAATTTCCACCGCTTGGTACTGATTTTAACTGCGCATCTTTAGGTAAGGTGAAACAGTTTGAGCCACTCCGGGCAATGTTCACGAGGAAGCTCTGAGTAGGCACGCAGCACCGAGCCAGCCCAGATCCTGCTCCCAAGTTATTGCAGGTACCACGCTCCCACAGCACACGAGGAGCAGGGCACTTCACTGGTAATCTGGGCAGCAATTTTAAACTGGATTGGTAAACCCCCCCATGGATTAGTAATCCATCAATAACACCGCAAGAGCTGGCACAAAGATGTACAGATGACATCGCCACATGCTGCTCCAGTCTGGGTTCCTTGGAGCGACTGAGACATCAAACCATTCATTATTTTACCCTCTTGGACAAAGAAATCATTGTAGAAGCCTATCGCAGAGCTAGGCCTGCTTGTGTGGCCTTCCCATCTCACCCCAGCTTCTCTAGCCTTGCTCATTTTTGGTCACTTGTTAATGCTCCACATCTGTTCTCTGGCTTCCCAGCTTCTCCCTTCGCCTTGGCAGCTGTCTCTGAACAGTTGCTGCACTCTGCAGCACACAGATGTGCCTGTCTTAACTTTAATGGAGCTCCCGTTCCCATCCTGGTGATTGCCTGTAGCTTATCCACCAGGTTTATCATTTATTCATTTCCCCACAAACCCAGATGAATCTGCACACCGGCTCCCCGTCCTGGGAAGCTGGGGCTTGCTTCTTACAGCAAGGCTGGACTTTTCATCTGCCACTGATCCTGCTGTAGAACTGAACTGGAATCTCATGATTTACTCTCGATCAGTCACATCACATCATCTAAACTGATAATGAGGTACCATTCCCTGCTCCACCTCCTTGCACCCGGGTGTGCAGGGCAGGAGAGCGACGCCGCGGCCCCACCGGCCGGGCGGGGAGGAGGGGACGGGACGGCGCACTGCCGCACAGAGACCGCTGCCAGGCGTTCTCAGAGGTATTTCCAGGCCAGGAAACATAGCGTAAAGTCACACTCTAGAGTTACAATATCTAGGCTTGTAATCTAGATCCTTTCCTTTCCCCTTGTTTTTTTGACATCTCACTTCTTTTCAAACTGTCACTTCCTTCCTCAGAGCTAAATTCTGCCCTAGTAATTTTAGCAAAAACCAAGGGAAGCAAACATTTCCTGGGGGGACCTGAAGGCGCTTTCCCATCGGTGGAGATTTTAAAGTGCTCTTGCATGTGTTTTCTCCAGAAAACATGCTCACAAGACTCAGCATCGCAAAGACATGGGTATCTCTTTCTTTTAGCCAGCCACCAACTTCAGGGTGACCCTTCTCACAGGCAGGAACTCGTTGTGTAGGGCCTGGAGAAGGTCCTCCAGCCGAGGTCCCTTCAGCCCACAGTCATTCTCTGACAAACCTCACAGAACAGCGTGTTCTCTCTGCTGCTCAGTTATGCAAATCCCAGCAATCTGCACGAATCATCCTTCGTGTCGGGGTTGGCACATCTAGAGCCTGGGCTGGCCAAGAGTCCTCGAGTCTGGACCACAATCTCCACGGGCTGAGGGATGGGAGATGTGCCCACTCCCCATCCCTGTGCCTCTACTTTTACTGACTGGTATCTAAACCAGGCTCTGCCTTAGAATCTGGCTGTTGAACGCAGGAAGGAAGGACACACAGATGAGCTGTGTGTACTCATTATACAAACGGACACTGAAGGGGAGGGGATGCAGAGTACCAGAAATACACACGTAAGAAATAAAAAGCCTTTTGCTTAGCTTCTTAGCCAGTACAGGGACTTGTAACCATAAGAATAGGCTGATTTATGGTCATTCTGCACAGGTTTATGTAAGATTGCTCATTGTGTGGTATCTGAGAAGGAAAGGCAACCCCCTTTCTTCCAGCCATGCCAACGGAAGCAAGCCTCTGTCGCTGGACGGTTTCGCACCACGTGTGACCCATGAGCAGGGCAGTGTGCCGCAGTCGGTGTCCCAGCTTTCTGTGGCACAGCAACACCCAGAAATGCCACCGGCCTCCGCGGGAGCTGGACACTGCGGCTTTGCTGCCGATTCAGAAAGGTTCGAGGACCACGGTTCAGCTCAGCACTTAAGCACGTGCCTCTCCTGGCCAAGCACATGCTGAACTGCTTCACGGGACTGATCCAGAACCCTGCTGCTCTGTTCTGGGTCTGCCTCCCACCGCCTTTACCAGATCAGCCCAGTAGACGTTTATGTTGCATGACTGTTGTTATATTCTTGTGTCCACTCTTACTAACC